GAATGTGAAGCAAACTGGTGATTTTGGATGTCACATATATATTCACAAGTGATACTCCAACTCCACCAGCTGTATGGGAAAATACTGTCAAATGTAATTACGCGTATTTAGTTCTGTAAACAGATGAGTGAATTCGGTGGTTTTTATATGCATAAAAAAGTGTATATGTGATTGGGTGCTGGCATTTTGCTGGTCCTCTATGGACAGATATCACCACTTTCAAACAAGATTATTTAGCTTGCTTATTTTCATTTTTATTACATTTAATATGAAAGTTACAATCCGTTTGTCACCGTCGATAAAAACATAGTGAAGTTATTGCTAATCACTTGGTGTATATTATCCAGAGTCCAGTATACTAAGACGTGTGCAAAAAAATATTAACACGGTGTAAAATCCTCATATAACTTCATTTATGATCGCCTTGTAATCTGAAATAACCTTAGGTACTTGATCTTGCACCATCATAAATTTCGGAATATTCTAAGATCTTGAGTTTCTGTTAATTACCGCCATTTGTTACTGTTCAGAACTTGATCTTGTAAGCTTTATTTACTTAAAGCTAGCTTTAAAGTAGATTGTATGAAGGTAATCTGAAACTGCTTTTGGTAGTACAACAAGATATACCTTCATCCATAGTAAACTAATTGTGTTTGGAGATTCCTAGAGCACCGACCTTGAAATAGAACACATATAAGTGTCTTATGAAGAATTAGTGCCGGAGAGTTGCTGCTTCCTCGGAGAGTATTGCAACTGGCTTAAAATTGACGGATCAAGACGTATGTATCTATTCATAACACTGTCCTGCTTAATATAAACTGCTAGAACTTTTGAGATAATGAATGACTCCCAATCTAAACGGCCTACTACATTTTCATGATTTCGCCCGTCTTGTTTGCTTGGTTGTAACCGTTAAAACAATCTGAACAGTTAAATAAATGAGGCGGATACAACATATCACAAGTTATGTGGTAGCTGTCACTGTCCAAATGAAAGGACGAATCTAGAAAATAATGAAGGGAACAGTGCGAGTTCTTTTAGAGGCCTGTCATTCGAAGTGGAGGGCATCCCTGTTACCATCATCGCTCAGTCGCAAAATTCCAGCTGTTTCGTACGACATGATTTCATGATGTGCCGATAAACAAAATAATGGCTATTTTGTTTAATTACGGCTCCTTATGGTTTAGTTGGATGTCACGAACTTATTATATTGATGCAGATTTATCACGCAAAATACCTCTTTAAATTGTGTTACGAACGTTGAAATGGTTTCACTTCCTACCCAGAAATCCTATTACAAAAAAACCAGACAATTCGCTAATATACGAAGCCTACTCAAGACCCTATAATACCTGAAAAAAAAGTAATAATACAAAAAAACGTAAGGGGCTCTTATAGCTTCGATAATAAAAGGAAGATAGCCAATTGTATATCACAATACTGTTTCTGGCACTGTATTTTATTTTATAACCACACATAATCCCATAATCTCAGCTCCTTTCCGAATCGCCTCCATTTGTCAGTTGTATGTCCACTCACATCTTGTTAACACTTATTTTCTTTAACCTATTAAAATGCTCTTTCTTAACAAATACCTTAATAAAAGAAAATTAGACTGAGTAATCATACCTTGTAGGCGGTACAACATTCCATCACAAACGCACGCACAAAGTTACATGGGTCTTACTGGATCACACTACACAGTGCCATAGCGGTCACATTTGTATGAACAAAACATTAGGAAGATCCATGGACGACGTGAGAACCAGGAGAGGAGCTAAAATAGCTTCAGATCACCACCTAGAAAACAGTATTGTAAAGGTTCAATTCAGCTTCCTTCGATATAATGAAAAACTCAACGAATTCGAGGTTGCTTACAACAACAGGTTTCAAGCCTTACAAGATATACTGAAAGGAAAAAAAATAGTACGGAGGACAATTGGAAGATGATCGAAGAGGCACGAATTTCGACGTGCTAGGAGGCATTAAACTGCAAGAAGTGGTACTATAAAGAATGGATCTCCATGTAGAACTTAAACAAGTTTCAAGAAAGGAAGAACAAAAGGACAGCAATTAACAACTACTGAACAGGAGCAGAGAAAGTCAAGACACAAGCCGAATGCACAAAACCAAACAAGCAAGTGAAGGATAGCGTTAGAGCTGACAGGCAGAAATACGTGGAAGAGTTAGCGACGGCTGCGGAAGAAGCTGTGAGAGAAGAAAATGAGACAACTATATGACACAACGAAGGAACTAACAGTGAAATATAATAATTCGTCTATTTACATATCTATAAAAGACTTACAATAAATCATTAAACGTCAGAAGTGCAATTGTTATACTCATTGAGATATAACAACAAGCATATTTTTTATTAAGTTTCAGAGCAACGCTCAATTTATTAGAAAATATCAAGTCCAACATTGGCATTGATATATATGTGCTAATGTCATTGTTAGATATCATTAGCTACATTCGGTCACGTTTGTTATCATCCGGTTTCGCCCTTCATCCTTACACTTCAGCCTTTTTACACCGTCCATGTTACCGAATATCTAACTCATTCGTTGATAATTTCTTGAAGCAACCGTTCTCTCTTGATCGCCGAAATTTCTTTTCATTATTGTTTACTTTTAAACAAGACAAATTCCTGTCTAGTAATGTGAAGGTTGACGGTATCCAGGATCACTACTGCTTTGAGACAAACGCACCTGAATTTCAAGATATAATAACTGCTAAACTGACTATAATCAGTTCGGTTGAGTGGCGAGACTATCACGAATTAAACATTACCTAGTACCTGGAATTTTAAAGGAATAACAAGTGAGCGAAAAGAGATCAATCGGTTAACACAGGCTTGTCACAGCGATGTTCTATATTAAGCATTTGTGCTACCTGAGACTTCAACAGTGCTACAAAATAAGCGAAATAGAATGCAGAACGAAATATAGCGCAGTGATAACGGGAGTACGCTGTTCATGCACGGATCTGAATGATAACAACGATAGAGAGAGCATGTTATATAACTACGCTGTACAGGAAATTTGTGTGTAAAGTTGAACTGATCCTCACATCTAATAAAGGAGGTCTAAAAATAGAATAACGTCATGACAATGTGAATAATGAAAAAAACTATCCTCAAGTTGGATTTATACTAACTGAATGGACGAAACTTGCTTGATCGGCTCGGAAAATACTTTAGTTATACTCTAAAATAGCAAAATCTATGAAAAATTCAACAGTTCATGTGTGAAAGTGTTTATTATTGGGTGTCAATTATAAGCTAATTTTGGTGGTTAATTGTCCCGTTGAGTTTTTGAGACGAACGCTACGGTGTCAAAGCTTTATGGTTTTGTATCCTTTTTGCAGATGCGTTGTTTTCTATTGAAGTCTGCAAAGCATCGTGATTGTGAAAATCTAGAGGATAGAAGTATAGGGGGATAAAGGAATTAATAACTTAGGAAACGCATAAGAAACACTTATGTTTAATCCCGATCACGCCTAATGTAAATAAAAGCGGCTTTCTAGGATTTAAGGCAAGATCTTGTAGTAAAATTTCATATAAATTTTGGTCAACATGCAAAAAATTTTCTATCATATTCCTTTTTCTCGGATAAATTACTAGATTTCCACCTAAATTAATATCTCGGAATTCGTATATTTAGTATAAATTTTCTCCAAATTTCTTTTTACTGAGGAGCTTTTCTAGCACAGTCGTGATTGCAATGTAAGAATGAATCCCTCAAACCCATAACTTCATTCACTCAGACTCTTTCTAGGGTTATCCGTTTAAGATATTGTATACTGACGACTTTGAGGAACCTATCAGCTACTTAGGGTGCACTGCTTAGTTACAAAAGAATTGGCAACAAAAAGCAATATTATAACAATGAGATGATCTTTATGATCGTAGCCAACCTTCATATGCCGAATTACTTCTTAGTAAGAGGAAGTTTAAGTTTTGCAGGTTAGGAGTCGGGGTAGTGCTGTGAGTTAGGACTGTCACTCCTTAGAGTTTTTGTTATTATATTATACTTTAGCCGAATAGTCTGTAGTATTTAGGGATAACACTCAAGAAGCCAAACAGGCTAGTTTTTAAATTGGGTTTTGATAGAGTAAGCTTTAGAATATTGATATGGATTCACATAAATGATAGCCTTCTGGGAGATTCCTTTGTTGAAACGTAAGATTTGTTGAAGTAGGTCAGGAAAACAAAATCGGGATGCAATTATGATGTCATATGAAAATAAGATTATACGGAATGTCCTTGTGATCCGAATCCCCTTTCAAAATATCTAATAAGAGTATGTTTGTCATTTTGTCAGAGTTACACTCAATTAAAACGTCATCACGCAACCTGATATTTAATTATTTTTAAAGTAGCGAAAACTGCGTGTGGGTCTTGAAAAATACATACACTACGTGTGATCAAGATACTTATCTCCTATTGCTTTTTCAGCGTCGTTCTTCCGACGACCTATATGTTGATAGGCTATTAGAGAGTTTTAAGTTTCAACATCTCGGTGTCTGGAGTGTAGTCTCTAATGACAATTTACTCTTCTTGAACCGTCTAGAAGTTATATGTCTAAAATACTAGGGAGACTAGTGTTGTTGTATAAAGGAATCTGTTCTACCACTTGGGGTTTTATTTTTATCTAGATTTTGACTTTTACTATGTAGATCGCCAGATTCTGTCTAGTATTAAGATCTAATACCTGGATTCGAATGTACGGAGCGATTTGAATCGACATTATCCCCAACATAACGCTACAATAGACTTATCAGTACGCTACATCTAACATGCAGTTTGCTTCAATAGATGTATCTGGAGCTCTTATGTATATAAGTATAATATAAATTCACCACATTTATTTTTCCTTGAAAAAATATTATATACGCCCTCGCTAGTATACTTAGCGCCTCCCTAACACCAAGTTTTCCCTCGCTTTCAGCCTGAAACACTGTGAAACTGTTAACATCTTACACTTAGTCGACTACTGATGCTAGCTCAAACCAGCCTCCAACTAGTAAAAGAATTAAAACGCTCCCAACAAAGCAAATTACCTCCTTATGGTGAAGATAAAATCCGATTATGCTTGGAAGAAATGCGAGTATTATATGATGCAAATCATCGTGATGTAGCCCTTGTATCTAACTCGTCGTCTGGGCCATCATCATCGTTATATGAAACAGATGATCATAGTAATAAAATTCAATCTGTTTTAGTCAGACATGCTATTTTGGAACGTAATAAACGTTGTCTTCTTGCCTATCACCATGCTAGATTAATGCGGATCAAAGAACTACGGTGGGAATATGGTATCATTTTACCTAAAGGTAATAGTAATTTCGTTATACTACGCTGTATTTTGTGTAAATAATCACTTCGAAGTAGTTTTTTGTACACAAAATGTCAAGTTCGTACTTGTTAGTACCTCTGCACATAACTCTTCTTAATACAGAAATGAAACAACAGAAGAATTCGTTTAGACCTAAAGCTACTATAACTTACTATGCTTATCTATATGATTTAATTTGAATAATTGATAATACAACTTTTGGAACTGGATGTGTGTACGGATTCCGTTAGTGTATTTTCTGCAGTCCCAGGGCTAGTCAGTATTATCAGGGTTCATATAGTAAACAATTCCTGGTCCTTCGTCATGCTTAGTATACACTGGAACTCTAACGAAGTACGAATCTATGTACTCGCTTTTGGATCACAATTTGTGAGACGGGAAAGCATAAATACTATCTGACTTCCTAAATTTAAGTGAAACATTTAAAACCTGAAATTTGTTAGGATGTAGAATACTAGCAGTTTAATCATTGAATTTAAATAGCAACAATATCTGAGTAATTGAACGGAACGTAGATTATATTTGAAATCAACAATTCCCTACCGGAAAGAGACCTCTATGCCACCACAGAAAAAAGTTTCTGTTCAGTTCTATTTACATTGATGTGAGATTCAGTAACAACGCATCAGTAATATGTAAATAAAGTTGTTTGAATGACTGCAGTTTTCTATTCAATAAACTACCGGTCTCGATAATGCACTTTTTCCTCAAAGCAAGAAATATTTTAAACTCATCATTCTCAGTCAAAATACATGAAGTGAGCTGACAAAATATTGATTAGTCATGTAAAGTAAGATGTTGTACGGTTGATTAAAAACAGCTCAACTTGTACAGAGAGTTTTGTTTTCAAAAATTTAAAACAATTAGTTCATTTGATAAGTTTCGAGAAGGCAAAGAGAAAACGAAGGTTATGAGAATTATGTGATATATTTGCACAATATATTTCGAACAATCTGATCACACATACTTGCTAAGACATTTTTATATGAAAACTAAAAGGTCAACTAGACAGAATAATGATAAGCCGTGACAAAGAAAGTACACAAAAACACTGTGATAACTACGCTGTATAATAAACCAGTATTACTAGGGTAGGTTAAGGGTAAGAACAAATTGTTTTTTGGAAGACATGAAGGGGATTTCAGTTTCCGTATAGCCAAGGTTTCAATAAACCTTAGTATACGTCCTTGAAGGCACATTGATGGAATTGGACGTGAGTATTAGACTTATGAATTTTTAGTTATCCATATAAATTGGGATACACCAAACTTATAGGCTTTAATAAATTAAACTCATCTTTATTAATAGAATTCATGTTTGACAATTTAACGTCTAGTCCCATCAATATGTCGGTCACATGCACACAACCTTGCAAAATGGTTTATAGAAGTATTAAACGCTATCCGAAATCAATTTTGTAAGTATTCTTTGATTGACTCATGTGGATTAATTAGGTACTTAATGGATATGAATGTAAAAACAAAGACAATGAGCTCCTTTAATGTGAACATTTTATTTACAAATGTACCTCTTATAAAAACTATTGATATTTTCTGTGACTATATCTCACTGAATAACCTCCCATTGCCATTTCCTGTGAAAACTCTTAAACATTTACAATTATTGTGAACTGACAGTGTGAAATTCACTTTTGAGGGTAAGCACTTTCGACAAATCGTTGGCGTAGCTATGGGTAGCCCTTTGGGACGGTTTCTGGCTGATGTATTTATGGGATGTGTTGAAAATCTAGCTGGAGACTCAATTCAAAAGGTGTGTCTGTATAAAAGGTACGTTGATGACATCATAATCATAGGGGATAAATATGAACCGTTTGTACAAAAGCCTTCAAGGACGTATACTAAGGTTCATTGAAACCTTGGCTATACGGAAACTGAAATCCCCTACATGTCTTCCAAAAAACAATTTGTTCTTACCCTTAACCTACCCTAGTAATACTGGTTTATTATACAGCGTGGTTATCACTGTTTTGTGTACTTTATTTTCTTTGTTACGGTTTATCATTATTCTGTCTAGTTGACCTTTTAGTTTTCATATAAAAATGTCTTAGCAAGTATGTGTGATCAGATTGTTCGAAATGTATTGTGCAAATATAACACATAATCCTCATAACCTTTGTCTTCTCATTGCATTTTCGAAATGGCTCAAACTCCAGTCAACTCTAATTCTAGCTATAACACTACGTTGCTCAAGACTGGTTAGTTGAGACGCATTTTAGGAATATTGGACTTCCACTTTATCTAAAAGACCCGTCCAATATTCATGTTAGTCTCAAGGTAGGTTTGTCATAATTCTATGTATTCACCTCTAAGTTTTGAATAATTGACATTTGATCTGGACAATCAAAATTCCTTACATATAAACATTATCATTGATTTCCTTCATCAATATGTACAATACATCTTTTAAACTTAGATATCCGTGATAGTTTATCGGAAGCGGAACAAGCATGGTTTAAACACTATTGTAGTTGTTTGGCAAACTTCATGCAAGCTGATGGATCGGAACGTGGGGGCGGTGGAATGCTAGATTTAACACAATATCGTACACCACCAAAATCATTATTTCTAGAAGTCCGTTGTCTTCAAGATTTTGGCGAATTCGAAACAGAGGATGGCAGTATTTTACATTTAACAAAAGGTAGTCATCATTTAATGCATCGAACCGATTGTGAGGCTTTAATTCGTCAAGGTATTCTTGAACATATAACAGAGTGAAATGAAACTGTCATGTGCAATTATTATCATGTCCTAAAAATGAAATTATACTGTATATATTTAAACTTATCATGTTATTATTTTCATGCGGAAGATTTTAAACAATAAATCAAGGAATGTGTTACACAATGACATCATTGTGATCATTTGGATGAGAAAAAAAGTGTATGACCCGTCATTACATTTATAAAAACGGGTACGATATGTGAAGCTATGAAAACTAAGTAATACCACAGACAAGATAGATTTCATAATCCTGTTTATAAAGAATACAGTAGGAAACTACATCCAAGTCGCTTGTAATATGAGTAGTCTAGAGACTATTTGTATCACTGAGTTTCATGACCTGTGGGCCTTCGGTTTGCTTTTGCTATTAATGTGGGATCATGAAGCAAAAATCGCCAGAAGTCTGTTAGTATAAATCCAACATATAAAATATGCGTCTTAATAGGAGTGGCTTTGATGTCTGTTTCCCCCAACTTACATTCCTATTGTTGATTGCCACTGGTAGATAAAGTTATCTTAACGCCATCTTGGTTTAGTTCTAGTGTATCAGAAGGGGTTTTGTGGATATTATGGTAATTTTAATACTTGAGATCATAAGTCAATTGAAGTTAGGTCACCATGGAAAACCTGGAAGCACTGGATGGCCGTCTGATCACAATGTGCTTTCTAAATTGAATAAACGGATACTATGGTGATATGCGAAGATGGATAATGGCTAGCAGCGGAATCTAGGACGCGTGTTTCGCCCTGTTTGGGACTCGTCAGTTGGATGTACCTGCACCTCAGAATTAATGTTCATTCTGAGGCTCGAACTCAGTGCGTTCGCTTCAAACGTCATCGCGTTACCTACTTTGCTACTGAGTCATGATAGCCACTATGGTGAATTATATTTTCAATTTTATCAGTATATCCTATGATTTAATTCATTTACATCTTTTAAATTTTGTTTGTGGTATTAGATTATTTTAGTTTAGCCCTTATAAAGCCTCCCATATTGGTTGTACAAACTCATAAATCTTCAGTGATACTTTCAACATCAAACATGATCTTTGATCTTCAAATGTAATGGCAAAATAAAGTTAGAACTTCAAAACTAGATTTTAGTTTCTGATAACATATACCAAGGCTGAGTATCTTATTTCCGAATTATACTACTTAAAACCTTCCAAGTAGTTAATCAAGTCTACTCTGTATTTATTTATTTTGACACATTGCTACAAAGGGGCACCGAGTACATATGTGCCACACAAATCTCATTTGATGTGTGAGGGCTGTGATACTCTTCGGGTGCCCAAACCGAAGCAGGTGGTTCTCTTAGGGGGGCCACACCCGGAGCCTTTGGCCTGAACCACAAGGCAATGAAGCATCGTGAGGAGATGCAATCCCATGGTACCCGGTGACCAACAATTGGTTCATACGCCATTTGTTCATTTAGGATACTGGAGCCCATGTGCACCAGTGGTTTGAAACAAGGGTTTTCCAACTCCCCTGTGTGGACTCTCCATGTCCACGAACCCGGTTAGAGCGCCGGACATTCGTTTTTCGTCTTCTCAATTCCGAGGAAACACCCCTACCATGAGAAGGCAATGAGTAGGATTTCACTAGCAGAGGCTATACACGCGTGGCCATGTGAGAGCATTTCAAGAAGGAGAGCAGACTCCCTACTCTCGGCTGTACCAGGGCATTTGTGGGCAACAATATAGTATACGCATTGGTTTCCTAGTAGTTTGCTCATTAAGAATTGCATTAGATTACGTAGATTGTTATTTATTTGTTAGCTGATAAGTAAGTAGTTCCAGTTATTAGAATCCGCATGCTTGACTCTTGCTATCCGGTTTAAATAATAACTAACAGTAATCACTTTTAGAGGCAAATTTCTATGGAATTAGTGAGAATCATTGTTCATATTATTTGTTAAATAGATTTAAACAGGATGGAGATTACGCAATACCTGGAATATTTATGTTTAGTGGAAATCATTTAAGGTTTCATACTCGCATGAATTTTCATCGTATGCAGTTAGTTGGAAAATCTTAAGGAGCTCTTCCTAGTCGATTTTATTCAAAATGGTTATGTGAAAAAAAGTAGTAGAGTGATGCATATAAACGAAAATTGACAAGTTAAATATTGTTTAGCTATGACTCATTGGTCCTACAATATATAAGATAGCTTTAAATTAAAAACGGATTAATTCTATCATAAATCGGATAATCTAGGTCTGTCTCAGCAAATATTCATGGGTTTATTACTCATTATAAATGAATGTCTTGCATTTATTCACAACTTCTTAACCAACATTCACTCACTTATCGATTTTGGTTATCCAAGTTTTCAAATACTTTCGTGTTATCATTTTGCATATAAACGCGTTATATTACTAGATATAAAAATCTATTCCTTTGGCTAGTGGCTTTACTTTTGATATCAGTTCATTCTGAGGTTTCAGTCAATAAACGAGTATTGAGAGTACCCATTCATATTTCAAGCATCTGTATCCATGTAGATACTCTAATCTTATCGAAATAGAATGCTATCGTTCTATGTATGGAATGGCAATATGCAGTGCTGAAATATATTTGCATAACCAATCATCCGACTACTCGTCGAATTGCATTTGTTTTCCGAGGTTTGTTATAGTAGACGTAACAGCAGGAAGCACCTGACTATGATTACACCAAAAACCAGAATGATGTTAGGCATTGAGAAATTCAAATTTGGACATTATGACTGTTAACTGTAACGCGTTAATAAAGTGGTCGATAAAAGTTAGTCAAAATAAAAGAGCAGTGTTTTTTTTAAATCAAGTAGATATGTCAATCAACAAAATTGACTTAAAAACTAAGTCAATAATGCTTTGGTCAACATTCAGAAATGGACAGTATGGTGTGGATTACTTGATACTAATGAACGAATTCGAAGAATTAATTCCTCCATTAAGAGAAGGCACTTATACGTACCATAAACTGGTAATTTCGAATTACATTATGTAGGATGAATTTTGTTGTTGAAAATAACGAAATTTGTAGCAAAAGTGAAGTAAACAATATAAAAGACAGGACGTAATGCTCTCAACTTGTGAACTATCATTTCATAATGCTCTGCTCACAAAATAAGACATCTCATGGTTTCGTGTGACACTAATAAGTGCGGATAAATGAGTAACACTGCTCAAAAATTCCTCTTTTTACAGACCCACAGTGCCTTTGCAGCCCTATAATAAACAACAATAACAAGTAATATGTTGAGCCTAAATAAATGTTATCACAAACCAACAGGAACTGGAAAACCAAGAGCGAAGACCTCTTAAATTGGAGCACCATATCATACACGCCGACGGCATTCAATTCGTTGGGACTCGGTGCGGGAACTGAAGAGGTGAGTGGCTACCAAGAGGGGTCATGACGTGAAAGTCGTGTGGGGCTAGCGTCTGTCATCTTTTCAGGACTCTTCGTTTAAAGTCCTAGAGGTCGCGTAGCTCTGACTTGAAGCGCTATCAGATGTGGTTCAAAACATAAGCTAATAGTAATTCTGCTACAATTTTCCGTATTTTTCATAAAGACGTGAGAAACCCAACCGATAAATCCTTTTATTGACTATTTCTCACTGAATTTTATGTTATTAAATACTGTTCTTTTTCATTGATTTATAGATTGTACAATCTCACTCCCTTTCTGTTCATAATATTGTCATTTAATTTGTGTAGAGTATACCTTTCCAGCTACCTACCATACCAAACTTTTCAGGTCAAGAAGAAAATACGACGAACTACTGGGGCAGAATCCGATAGGTCCACACTTTCCTATTTTATCAATTTGTGAAACAGCATTATCTTGATGCATTACATGTACCTAACCACCGTATACCTCAGGAGGCGATAATGTACGGTGGATGAGTAGGCTATCAGAAAACTAGAATAACCTAAACCAGAACGTGCCATTAATCCATGGAGTCATTGACAGCTGAAATAAGTTAATGTAAAGTGCAGATCAATTAGTCAGGATCCATACGATAATTGAAACTAGTGATTGACTGTCCGATGACATGGTACAAATGTATTCACTCTCATAAGAAGAAGTTTTTCTTTGAAATTAGACCTTTACATTATTATTTGTTTAACAAAAAAAGAAAGAAATGAGAATAAAATACAAGATTATAAGAATACAATGATAAAAGGGACAATTTAAAAAGTAACAAAAAAATATAAAACTTTATATTACAAAATTATTAAAATCTATTTAGATATGTAATTTCCAAGTGAGAATATCAATATTCTTGAACAATTATCATTTATCTAATTTGCCTTAATATAAATATGCTTATGAGTATAATATTGATTGATTGAAGATTATAATCGTTGAAAAACTTTAATGATCTTAATCATTTTAATAACAAAAAACTAAATGAAATAACATAAATAAAATATGATATCATACAATAAGTGATATTTTATGAAGAGATGAATAAAGAAATAATACTTCGATAAAAATGATCACTTATATATATATATATATATATTGGTATAATGAATTTATATGTAAACTGTAATCTTACATATTGTTTCACATTCTTCTTTAGTTAAAAAATTATTTTCATTTGCATCACAACCACCATAGATGAATTCTTCACAGATTGTTTTTTGTGAATTCCAACCCCAACGATGAAGTTTTGCATGACATTTACCAGTTAATCTTGGTAATAAACAAATTGGATTTAGTGAATCATGCACTGAATAAATGTAAAGAAATAATGAGGAAATAATAATTAAGGAATGGAAATCAAGATAGACACGAAAAGGAATAAAAGTGTTTGATTATCAGGCTTTCCTTTCTTACTGTTATAGACTTATGCAACAGATTGACAAGGCTGTGTTTTTTAAAAAGAAAAAGGATGGTTAGGAATCAGACGAAATTTCACAGTTTAGTGGCTTGTTGATTTTCAAAATTTCATAAACTACTTTGTATTAAACCCATAAACCTTTTTTATTAAAAATTACAGAACATTGTGAATTAGGGAAAACCACAACACTTTTAACATTTAAATAGGTGAAATTCATATTCGAATATTCCTAACAATCAAGTCAACGAGATATCCATACATGACCTTTTCTTTTTCGAAGTGAACTCTCCAAGGAATTCCTGTTGTGAATTTTTAATATAAAGTAAAATTTCTCCTTTTATTAGATCATGTGTTTAAACATATTTTCCATAAAGTACCAAGCTTCTATCAGACCTTAAAGTTGGTACTTAATATGAACAAACGATTTTCTGAATACATATACAACAGATGAAGGCTGTTATCTGTCCCTTGGGTTGAGTGGCGAAGATATTGGTTGGTTTAGCCTACAGACTTAGGCTACAATTACATATGGATACCTGATCTTCTAAAATCCAGGAAACTTAACTTTTATCCCATAAGAGGTGCAGTGAGTGAGGAGATAGCAAGAAACAATAAAGGGGAAGTGTATATCTTTTTTTTACTTTACCATTTGACGAGGCTGAGCCCACGCTATTATGGATAGAACTCTGTTCAGAAAGAGCTTATTCGTCTTTTGAATCTATGGGTATACTTACATCAGCACGATCACGAAATTTGATGTCAAATCTTTAGATATACTCCATCTCCACATTAGCTGGATGGGGTTTGATGAATGACCACTGCAAGATATTGTATCTCAGTTTGATAGACAAAGCATACATTATGGCACAAGATCAGTTTTAGCTGATAAATCCTGTTGCTCGATTCGAAATATGGTACGGACATTAAATGCTCTAGCATGTAGTTTGGGATATGGGCGTGCTAGCTATTTATCAGATACATACCCAAGAATTTAGTTGTCCGACTTTGCCCACAATCTTTAGATTAATCGCTTTTGGTCAGACCACTATCTTATTAAACTGACTGGCATGATAGAACACGAAATGTTCCAACAAATCCAGCTTGGCTAGTTCTTCATGACAGGCAAGCTTGAACTCAACATCAGGGTAGTGGCTAGGGTCTCGAGATAAAATAATATTACATGCGAGCTCTAGGATTCGAAAGGAATGGATGATGTATTGAACGATCCTGCCAATTTTTTGTCAAGAAAATCGTATTCCTGACAACGTTCCACTTTGTTAGAGATGCGAAACAGTGAATAGCTTAGAAGATGGTTCAACGTAGAAAGCATGTGAGTATCACAGCCATTGCACAATTTTTATCTATTTGAACATAAAATTGGTACAACAGGGCACCAAATATATATGTGCCACACAAAACAATGAGAATTCGAAGAGAAAAAAAGGTAAGGAGCGTAAAAAAAGAACAATAACGAACAGATTAGCGCAAGGTACTGTAATAATAATAATAGTAATAATGGGGGAAACGGAAAGGTACAATCAGAAGAAATAAATGATAATGTCTACAGGGAATAGTGTACCATAATTTTATTTATTTGGACACCCAAATATTGGTACAAGGGGGTACGAAATACATAAGCTCCACATAATAACGGTGAGGTTGTGAAGAGATACAGAATGGAGGGTATAATAAACGAAGAGCAACAATGAACATAAATTAGTGTACGACAGTGAAATAATAGTAATAATGGGAGAAACAGTTAACAAAAATACAACCAGAAAGAATTCTTTCAGTCAAAAATTTACGTTCATTTTTTATGAAGTTACAGCAGCATCGCTTTGGCTTCTATTCTGAGCCATATCTCATAACGTCTCTAGGCACTGTGTTGCACCATTGCTAGGACCTCAACCACGGAGTCGTGAAGGGTCAACAAAAGCCAGTCCTGTACAACTTTTTTCCATACCATGTCATACACTGACCACCTCTCCGCCTTTCCCAACCAGTCCTAGAGTCGGCAAATAATGCACGACGTGGAATTCTCTGGGACGAAACTCGCAAAACATGTCCAAGCCACTGAAGTCGGTGTTTCAAGATAGTGACATTAATTGAATTATCGTCTCTGTGCCCGAACACACGATGCAGAACCTTTGCATTACTAACATGGTGTTGCCACTGGATGTCAGCAATCCTTCGGAGACAGCGATGATCGAACACAGAGAGTCTAACGTCCTCAACTCGGAGAGGCCAGGTTTCACAAGCATAGAGCAAAACTGCTCTCACCGACGCCTTGTAGATCCGACCTTTTACAGCCAGACTAACATCACGAAGGCGCCAAAGATGGCCCAGATTAGCATAAGCCGCTCTGGCTTTCACTATACGTGCATTGATCTCATCACTCACACCCCCACCAGCACTTATGCAACTACCCAGATACACGAACTTCTCGACTACCTCTATCTGTTCACCATCCAGAGTGAGTGCAGGATTAGAATCCTGCCAGTCTTGTAGAGGTACTTTGCACTTCGAAGGTGCAAAGCACATACCATACTTACGGACACTGATTGCCAACTGATTAAGTGAGGATTGCATGCCTTGGGCATTATCGCACAGTAAGGCAATATCATCCGCATACTCAAGGTCGAGAAGTCTTTCTCCAGGCAACAGAACCACACCGCCATTACTTACATCCATCAGAGCTGTTTCCAGAATGTCTTCGATAGCAAAGTTGGCAAAAGGGCCGGAGGTAAGTCATCTGGGCCAGGTGATTTGTAGCGCTTTAAGAGTTGGAGTTACTTGCGGACTTCCGCCTCATTTGGTGGGTCAGTCGTCACCGGCCATGGAGAGCAGGACAGTCCGACCGATGTTGCCAGAGCAGCAGGCCAGTTGAACTACCCTTCGAAGAATTCTGCCCATCGTCCAAGACGTCGATGGATGTTAGTGATTGGCATCTCATCATCCTCGCAGATTGTTTCACTCACACCAGACTTCTTGCTGCCAGTGGCTCGGATGAGCTGGAAGAGCTTCCGGTAGTTACCAGATGCAACTGCTGCTTCCAGCTCATTAGCACGCTCCGACCATCAGGCTTCTCGGTCCTTACTCAATCTTTGCCCGATTTCCTTACGTAACATCCCTCGTTTATGATCAAACTCACGGTCACCCGGAGTAGACCGACAGGCTTCAATGTGTAAGGAACCAGAAGAAACCCAATGCTTAAAAGCGGGACGTTTCGCAAACCCACAACTGACTGTTCCCGCCATTTTCATGGCGTCATGCAATTGCAACCAATGCTCATCTATACTTTTCGGTGGCCCAGTCAGTCAGTCAGTAACAACGTAGAACTTAGTACGTACGTACATCAGTTCGAGTTGCCATACCACATTAGCACAGAGATGCAGTGGTCGATTCAAATCCCGTAGTGGTAGAGGTAGCAAGAGTATAAGCAGTAATCGGGAAGATTAGGGTTTGGAGATGTTATTTAACGAGTATAATCCAGTGAAATAAATTTGGAAAGAGGAAAAAAAGGGGCATGAAGAATTCAGATAACTAGAATTTGGGAGAACATAGAGAGTGGATGCACCTGCGCCATTGCAAACGATTTTGAGCCATGTCATTCAGGGTCTCTAACCATCGGTTGCTATCATCTCGCGGTCCCCAACCAGGTAGTCTACACCTACCAACATGACTCAGTCCACTTGTCAGTGACTTCATGGATTTGTGCCATGTTTTGGTCTGGCCGCCCCTAGCTTTCTTCCAACCTACTCCTATACCACTGAATATAGCACGTCGAGGTAGTCGGTGGTTGGGCATACGTAACACGTGTCCCAGCCATCTCAACTGATGAAGTTTCACTACTTCATCAATTGATTTGCCATCCTTACCTAGTACCCGTTTCCTAACAGCTGCGTTACTTACTCGGTGGTCCCAGGATATACGAGCAATACTTCGAAGACACCTATGATCAAATACTAGTAACCTACGAATATCCTCTACTCTTACCGGCCATGTTTCACAGCCATAAAGTAGGACGGAACGAACTGCTGCGCAGTAAACACGTCCTTTGGTTGACAGACGGATATCTCGCCTACGCCATAAATGACGCAAGTTGGCAAAAGCTAGTCGAGCCTTCTGTATCCGTGCTGAGATTTCGTCACACACCAGACCACAAGGGCTGATGAGACTTCCAAGATAAGTGAAGCGGTCGACACACTCAACTACTTCGCTCCCTATCACTAGTTCGGGTGTCGATGTAACCCAATCCTGAAGCAACATTTTGCATTTCGAGGGAGAGAATCGCATCCCGAACATGCTTGCATTGTTGCTTAGAGTGGTCAGAAGACTCTGCATTTTGTCAGCGTCTTCACCAAATAAAACTATGTCATCGGCATATTCTAAGTCAACAAGTGAACCTCCCGGTAGAAGTTCAACCCCCGGAAATTTAGATGAGGAGAGTGTTATCTCTAAAAGTACGTCAATGACAAAGTTGAACAAGAATGGGGAGAGTGGACAGCCCTGACGAACACCACTTGAGGTAATCAATTCTGATGACAGTTCGCCATAAGCTCTCACTCTACCAGTTGTGTTCGAGTAGAGAGCTTGAATAAGGTTAATGTACTTCTTTGGTACTCCTTTCTGTGACAAACACTGCCATAGAACCTCACGGTCAACAGAGTCGAATGCCGCCTTAAGATCGAGAAATACTACCATTGTGGGGCGTCTGAATGTGTGTCTGTGTTCTAGAACCTGACGTAGTGTGAATATCTGATCTATACAACCACGTCCAGGTCGAAAACCGGCCTGGTTTTCTCTAGTTTGCTCTTCACGAGCTTTGATTAGGCGTCGAAGTATTATTGAAGCTAATATTTTAGACACTATATTAGTCAAACTGATTC